GTTTAATGACATATTATTATCTTGATTAAATTTTTACAGTTTGAAAATCTAAATAATGGCTCAGTGGAGGATTTTTTTTGACATTGGAGGAAAATGGGATGAGATTGAAAGTTGTTGGGTATACCATACAGATTGTAATTTAATTGGCATATATATGGATGAGAAGGATACGCTCGCAGGGTGGCACGGGCGCGTGCGCGGGGTGGCACTGGCGACCATAACACAATAATATAGATAACAGACCAGAACCGACCAACCTAGCAAGAACCGACCAGAACAGACCAAGAACAGACACTTGTAAAAAATTAGAGAACATACAATTTTTCATATTTTTTAGACTTTTTGGGTATTAATAAACATTGTAGTTTATAAAAGTGAAAAAAAAAATTGGTTAGAAAGGAGAAAACCTAGAACAGACCAAGAACAGACTCGTGTAAAAAATTAGAGAACATACAATTTTTTATATTTTGTAGACTTTTTAGGTATTAATAAACATTGTAGTTTATAAAGGTGAAAAAAAAAATGGTTAGAAATGAGAAAACTAAGAACAGACCAAGAACAGACTCGTGTAAAAAATTAGAGAACATACAATTTTTCGTATTTTTTAGACTTTTTAGGTAATAATAAACATTGTAGTTTATAAAGGTGAAAAAAAAAATGGTTAGAAATGAGAAAACTAAGAACAGACCAAGAACAGACTCGTGTAAAAAATTAGAGAACATACAATTTTTCGTATTTTTTAGACTTTTTAGGTAATAATAAACATTGTAGTTTATAAAGGTGAAAAAAAAAATGGTTAGAAATGAGAAAACTAAGAACAGACCAAGAACAGACTCGTGTAAAAAATTAGAGAACATACAATTTTTCGTATTTTTTAGACTTTTTAGGTAATAATAAACATTGTAGTTTATAAAGGTGAAAAAAAAAATGGTTAGAAATGAGAAAACTAAGAACAGACCAAGAACAGACTCGTGTAAAAAATTAGAGAACATACAATTTTTCGTATTTTTTAGACTTTTTAGGTAATAATAAACATTGTAGTTTATAAAGGTGAAAAAAAAAATGGTTAGAAATGAGAAAACTAAGAACAGACCAAGAACAGACTCTTGGTTTGTTCTTGGTCTGTTCTTAGTCTGTTCTTGGTTTTCTCATTTCTAACCATTTTTTTTTTCACCTTTATAAACTACAATGTTTATTAATACCTAAAAAGTCTAAAAAATATGAAAAATTGTATGTTCTCTAATTTTTTACAAGAGTCTGTTCTTGGTATGTTCTTGGTTTTCTCATTTCTATCTAATTTTTTCTTTCACTTTTATAAACTACAATGTTTATTAATACCCAAAAAGTCTAAAAAATATGAAAAAATGTATGTTTTCTAACTTTTTTA